TATACTCCGCCACGATACGATAACAGCAATAAACATAGCATGATGTAAGGTGACCATAAGAATTATAATTTTTTTTTTCTTTTTTCTTTTAAGTTTTTTTCTCTTACCTCCTTCATGATGATTTTATACTTATTGTAATTTGAGACTTCGTTACTGGTGTTTTTTTTTTTTTTCTTTTGTTGTTGCTTTTCGTTCCTGACAACATATAAAACAATCTAAAGATCGTTGTAAACTCTCTGAAAGAGAGAAAATATTTTGCAAAGCAAATGCCATTCGGCATGGATAACAAACTGGTTTCAGATCAACAGGGAACAATGCAGGCCCGTATGGAATGTGTCTGCCTGTGTCTATACAGTCATAAATGTAATGTGTGTAATGTGTGCATCAATGTGTGAGGCCATTGCTAGCTTAATCCATATGTCCAAATTCCAAGAATTTTGTTCTTTTTCTTCAATTCAAATCATAAAAATTCCGCTTTTTTGTAAAAAAAAAAGGTAAGAAGAAGGAAGTATTTCAACGCTTCTCAAAAATAAACAAAACTATTAAATTGCTTATAACAAAGTGCTCAAGAATTTCAATTGCTTGGCTTGAAAGCGGACGCTTCACTCTACCTATCACCGAAAGATGAGGGGTATATTCATTTTGTCAAAACGTTTGCAACGCCCAGAAGGAAGCATCGGAAACCCGGCAAAGTACTTATATTCTTGATCAGCATGTCCCTCTGTCTGTCTATCCGTCTGTGCAATGTCTGTTGCAAACATTGTCTTGGCCGTCTTCAAGTTCAGCAGAAACATTGGAACCTGGGAAGCAGGTTCGCATTGAAAATCGCTTGAAGGACCCGCCCACAGCGCCACGTAAACTGAGAGCACCTCCGTTTTTCAAAAGCCATAAAAATCAGTTTTTCTCCCTTACTCTAGTTTATACTAAGGCAGATAAATGTACAAAAATTTGAACGCATATTCAATGGACGATGCTGTACAAAATGAAGAAAATTGACCCCACTTACCCAATATTATAGTGTATTAAAATTTAAGTATTTTTTTCAATGCCTTTGAAATCGGCAGAAATCGACTTCAAAAACCCCACAAGATATATATATATACAATTGTTGGCCATTTTCAAACATGTTCGTCTGCTCGTCCGTCCGTCTGTCTGCCTGCGCAACTGCGTAGTATTTATGGCAAACATGCTCGCGTTAGCGAAAACGAATATATCGCTTACAACAAACATTATATGAGACACAAATCGGCAATATATAGCATTATAGTATTCTTAGAACTATACTCGTCTAGATCTAATATCGATCTTTTACCGATTTTACAAGCTTGAATAGCTTTTGTCTATGAACCAACTTTATGTTAAGGGTTTTCTCTATTCATGCAAACTTCCATCGAATGGATTAGAGGACCTACATTCTATACACATCATTGATCAAAATAGAATTTACAATTTATTAAAGGATTTTCTGTCAATGATTTTTACAACGTCTGTTCACATCAGTTCGCATGTAGATTACATAGAATAATTTACTTTTCAGCACAGTAGCGTTACGAATTACCCAAAGTACCAACCGACCTATCGCATGATCCGAAGTAATTAACTTTGAAAAGGATTAATGATCAATTATCCAGTCAATGTGCTTTGAAGTGTTTGACTTAAAAATTTTAAAAGATTTTTCTTCATTTTCCTTTACTGCCAGATTTAATCGGTAACGCTTGGACTAGCGCCTGGATAGCTTTTTATACTAGATGTGTTTTTTTTATTTCATCCTTAGCAGTTTTTAGCATTTGTTCTTGAAAGCAATGATTAAGCAATAAAATTTTTATTATTTATTTTAAATATGCCATAAAGCATTTCTTTTCTTTAAATTTTAAGCGAAATGTGCACTTTATCATCAACATCGTCGTAAATAACGCTACACGTTATTTAGAAGTTGAGCTGACGTGCTTAAGTCGTTATTTCAGTTATTCAATGTAAATGCATGCGATAGACCAACTCAACTGGGTGTTATCTGCATAATTTTCGGTACAAGTATCCAACCCAAGACTTCCTATATGCTAAGCCACTTTTAGCTCCGTTTTATTATTTTTCTTCTTTTTTTTACAATTTTTCCTCTTTCACTCTTCCTCTTCTCCTTGAACGCTTTCATACTTTGACTTTAAATTACACTTTTCTATGAAAGTATACACAATTTGTGTTTAGATTCAGAGGCGATATGTCACACATGTAGTTAAATGCTTTTCCGATATATCCTTTTGTTTTTGTTTCTTGCTTTCCTTTACTTTTCGCCAGGGGTTTTAAAAGTTATGGTTTTTTGTTACGGTTTGCTTTGTTTCACTCGTTAGTTGGTGTGCAAGTGAAATTCTAAACAGAGAGAGCTAGACGGAGAGCGAGAAAAACGTAATGAAGGCTGATGATGGATGCCGTGCTGCCGACACACAACACTAAAGCTTAAGTGAGCTAATCAATGCTTGATTGTTACAAGTTAACTTTTTACAATATGCGACAATTAAGAGCAGAGACGTTTAAACAACACAAACAACACATGAAAAGAGTCCAGGTTAAAAATATGCTTTATAATGTACATATTTTATTAAACCTAGAAGTATGTTACAAATATTCGACGAATTAATTTTAGAAAATAGTTAAAAAAGTTAAGTAAGTTCTTCAAATTAAATTAAATTAACTGAATTACTTTAAAAATCAATTTATGGCCAATGTACATGAAAAATTACTTGACCATAAAGTGGAAAAATTTTACATCAATTTTGAATAACTATTTTTCGATTAAAAGTATTAATTGCATTTTTTAAGAAAACTATTCCGTGGATTTCACGAGAGATACATATTGTCTAGGTTACGGGGTAATGATGAATGTGTATTGAAATTTTTTTATATTTTCTGAAAATACCTTTTTTTTCAACCCGATAAGAGCTTCTGATGAATATGTTTACCATAAAATAAGCGCGAGATAAGCGTGATAAAAAGATCCATTTGAAAACATTTTCCTTGGAAAAGGAAATTCGACCGTGAGGACTTCTACTTGCCCATAAGATTAAGTTGATGTAAGCCTAAAAACACATTAACCCCACAGTTTGCACAAAAACGTTTTCCTTGGAAAAGCAAGCTTCTGTTACGTAAGTCTTAACCGTGAGCATTTCCACCTACCCATAAGGTAAGCTTTATGTAGGCTTAAGTTGAACATTAACTCCACAATTTATATGAAATTCCTTGGGAAAGGAAACTTCCGTTACGTAAATGTTAACGGTGAGCACTTTCATCTCTCCATAGGATAAGCTTGATGTAGGCCTAAATTGAATATTAATCCACACTTTATATGAAGCGGATTTCCTTGGAAATGGAAGCTTCTGTTATGTAGGTCTCAACCGTGAGCACTTCCACTTGCCCATAAGATTAACTTGATGTGAGTCTATGTTAAATTGCAATAGTATTCTTCACAAGATGGTTAACTGCTTGCACCGCGACACTCATGAAGCTACAAAATGGAAATGACATTTTAACTCATCTCTAAAACTGTACAATGGCCAACGACTTGTTATGCTTTTATGTTTATCGGACGTAATAGGAAAGGTTCCAGTCGGAAACAAAGACCTTTCCTTATACTATTATACATACTGCAAGTGGACTTGATAGTTTAAACAATTTATATATCGCAAAATGCTCTTCTTCCGTTTTCATTTAACATGGCAACCCTAAAAGTATGCTACATATATTGTATGTTACGATTGTGTACATACGCAATATGATTACACCGGTCTAACAACTTTACAATTTTTGTTTTTATTTTAATTAAGTTTGATTACAAGTTGAAGGAATAACTCTGTTCGCTTCTCAAGGCTTCTCATAAATAAAACGCCCCTGGGAACTTTTTCCCTTATTTTATTGCCTTTGCCTTTTTTTCTTTGTTGTTTCATCTATCTCATATGATATTCTATTATGATGTTTTCTTTCAACGCAAGCAGACTCGACATTACCCAGCATTATAAACATTTGCACATTATCTGTAATCATTACTGATATAATGTTTTACTACTCACCTATCAAGTAGAAATGTATGATAAGCTCGCAAACGAAGACATAAGTAGATGTAGATGGATTGTGTTAACACCTCATTACGTATGCGATGACAGGCGTCCCCCATGTTTACAAGGCTCTAATGCCGACCGAATGCCGTACTAGTTTCAAGTGTATAATAAAGTTAACAGCTCGGTGTATAAAAGAACCCTTATTTTGCTTTTTTAATAAATTTCAACACAAAAAAAAAAAAGAAGAAAACGTAAAATATTTATGCAAACACATGCGTAGACCATTAGCGAAATACCTGCTAATCATAGCTTCTTTCACTTTTCAAAAGATTTTTACTTGACTTTAATATTTTTCAAAATTTCCAACTCCATCTGTTTCGGTTAAGGAAATATAATTTAACACTTTCTCGTTCGTCTTTGAAACTTAATTAACAATAGAAACTTTTCTGCACAATAAGAAAAACAAACATACTAACTGTGTAGATAAACAATTTTCATGCTGCCCCAAGGTTGCATATTGATGACATTGGCCTTCCAAGGGTTACAATGCAACAAACAAAAGTATCTTAGAGACGCCACAAGGCAGACACACCTTTGTTTTTGCTTTTTTGCCGGCTTTCCGTGATATCGGGGAGTTTTATTTCAACTATGGCTCCGCGATATTAGCGGCCGTTCTCGGGACAATATGAAGAAGACCTCACATAAGTCACGACGGATTTTTTGAATTTTTATAACAAAGTTGATATCAGAGAAGGTTATTACAGCTCTTGCCCCGAAATGTCAAATTTAATGCAAAATCGAAAACCTATGGCATTGTTTTCTCAGACGGCTAGTGACCGATTACAAGGCCCGATTGCGCCTATTAGTTATTAAAAGAGAGATTTATTTGCCTTCTAATGCTATTAATTTTCTTTTTAATAACATTCCCTTGAATTTACTTTTTTCTTTTTACAGGAACTTAAAGAAAGTTTCAACTATGGCTTATTTTGTCCTCCGTCAAATGGCAAGGCAGGCAAATTCCTGGACGAGGAACGCCGTTTGGGTGATTACCCTTTCAACGGGCCAGTGGGATATTTGGAGGTAAGATTTTTTTCAATTTTCATACTCATAATATTGGATGGGCGCGGTCGATTTTTTCTAACTTTAGAATAAAAGTGGAAATTGACATGGTTTGTTTTGTACTACATGAGTAAAAAGCAAACAGCACGGAAATTAAAGATTTGGTTTGATTGATGGTTTCGCTTATCTAGGCGCGAGGGCGGACAGATGAACAAAAGAATAAGCGGACAAACTTAAGTGCATTCCGAATTTGAAAGTGGCGAACAATTTATATCCTTTATGGGTTTCTGAAAAACAGAGGTGTTCTTAGTTTATATGGTACTGTAGGCGTGTCCTTCAACCGATTTAGCTCATTTGCAATGCCAACCTACGTGCAAGAACTTTCAATGTTTCTATCGAATTTTAAGTTGACAGCTTTACAACAGGCATTACATACACGGACGGACGGACATGGTTAAATCGATTTAGAATTTGATGGGTCTCTGAAGCTTCTTCCTGGGTGTTGCAAACGTTCTGGCAAAATCATCCTTCGGCGAAAGGTTCAAGTCCATTCGTACTTCCACATCGCTTGATGCGTGGTACAAAAACGGTACACGAAGATTTACATTCCCATTAATGCAAAACAAAAAAAATTCAAACTCTTTAGAATAAAATTTTCTTATTATTATTTTATGATGATTATTCATTATTAATATCGTTCGCTTTCAGTTGAAATACAAACGGCGCGTCTATAAAATGTTAAATCTTGATGAGCGTCAATTAAAAGCTTTACATACACGTGCCAATCTAAGACGATTCCTTGAATGCATTAACGGTGGACATGTGGAAAAGATAGCAAAAATGTGTGCCAAAGGGCTGGACCCGAATTTTCATTGTCCCGAAAGTGGGGAAACACCGTTAACAGTAGCGACGGGTGCTAAAAAACCAAATAAACTTCTAATAGCGCTAGTAAATGGCGGAGCTCTCTTGGATTATCGCACTAAAGATGGTACCACCGCATTGCATAGAGCAGTAGAGAAAGATTCATTGGAGGCAGTAACGTATGTATATATGATTTGCATAAAATTCTCTAAAATTCATAACAAGTTACCTTCATTAACTATGACAGAACCTTATTAGAGTTGGGTGCCTCACCTAATTACAAGGACGCTCGTGGCATTACTCCTCTTTATATATCAATAACACGTAAATGTGATGCCAAAATAACTGAAAGTCTATTACACGATCATGCTTCATTGGGTACTCAGGACAATCAAGGCTGGAATGAAGTACATCAGGTAAGTAAGACGTTTCCGTTTTCATTTATTTTTGCAGAAGAGTTGTTTAAAAACTTTTTAGTTATATGAAAAAAAAAAAAAAAAATTCAGCCGGAATATAAAATTACAAGATAATCAGTAATTAATTGCTTTCTAAAGGTGTTAGTCAATAAGTGCCCGAATTAAGGCCATAAAGTAAAAGTTGTTCATAAAAATTCCTTTTTTCTTTATGGGCGATACATTCTGGTCGGTCCTTGAAAAAGTCAAATTTGTTGCATTTTTGGAAAGTGATCTTTTACTTTAACAGCTATTCGAATCCACATTTAAGCAAACAAGTGACATGCGTTTTTAGAGTAGAGGGGTCTCTTCCAATTCTAGTTTCTTTCACATTTCACAAACAATATTCAAATATTGGAGGGCTCAACAACACTTGCAGTTTACCCCATTTTTTTGCCAAAATTCTATTTTAGCGCTAAGACGAATCTCGAACGGACAAGGGAGAGCCTCAGATATAGGAGATGTGAGAAGAACATGTCGGTTCTACGCGAGAGTAATCATTTGAATTCCTCGATTACGACCGAATTATATGCGCATTTTTGCAGAGAGCTTTTTATTAAAAATTCAATTTGCTTAGATCGCACTAGAGAACGGTTACTAGAGACGATGTAAAAGGTCCGATGCTTTCAATCACATATAAGCAAACAATAAGTTTCACTACAGAGCCATACTCATCAATGAGCGATCGTGCTCCATAGCTTACGAAAAGTTTTTTTTTGGCATCTGCTTAAGTCAGAGGGAAAAGTGAAGCGATTATTACGTATGATGTGAAAGCTCCGAGACTCTCAATCTCATATAAGCAAACCATAAGTTTTACTATAGAGACGTTCTCATCGAACGCACGTGCTCAATAGCTTGCGGAAAGTTTTAACCATTACATCTACTTAAGCCAAAGACGTTAAACATTTGCATGACATATCATTATAACCACAAAAATGTACAGCTTGATGAACATTCTTGACCGCCTAACAATACTGTTTTGCTCAGAAGACAAGTAAAGCAGCAGCGACCACTGATAACTGCCGTAAATTGGAAAAATTATATCCTTATTAAAAAAAAAAACAAAAACAAAAACATAACCAGCAGCAATGTGCGGATATTTTCTCCTCAAAATGAAAACTTAGGGCACTTGTTGATTTACCGCATAAGGTTTCGAAAGAAGTATGGTGCAGGGGTGAGGGTTGTCAAATTTCAGGTTTTTTTTTTTTTAGTTTCTTATATGGTTTCAGTATTAATAGTAAAGGCACAGTAAGATGAAAACGTAGCGCTCTTTGCCTCAAATTATATGCAATAATAACAACGTTTTCCGGGATTATTATTACATTTTTCGGCGTTAACGTTCGATCTGTGATTCGTAGCAATATTTTCAATTATTTTATATTCCTACCCTCTATTGATGTTTGGCTTGCTAAATAATTTAAAAACGTAAAAAAAAAAAAAAAAAAATCATCTTGTATTGTTCTATATTTTTATATAAATGTGGGGATAAATTGCTACTACTACCAATCTCTCAAACACTACCTACTACTACTACTACCTGTATTGCTATAAAACTACCAACCAATATAACAACTACTCTACTGCTACTATTGCTACTACTACTACTACCATACTACTACCATCTTATGTACTACTATTTGGCAAAAAAAACAAAAAAAACAAAAAAAACAAAAAAAAAAAAAAAATGATATAATTAGGCTTGCCGTCATGGTCTTGTCCAGCATTTGGAACATTTGTTGTTTTATGGTGCTGACATGGATGGCCGTAATGCTTCCGGTAATACACCATTGCATGTATGCGCTGTTAACAATCAAGAGGCTTGTGCTAGAATGCTTCTATTTCGAGGTGCCCAACGTGGTGCGCTAAATTTTGCCAATCAAACTCCTTATCAGGTATTTAATAGTATATACTTTCTTATGGTTTTTCTTCTTGCGCGGTAAAATTTTCCAAAAATTTTTTTTCTATATACATACATATATATACATATATATTTAGCAAATTTGTATATTGAAAAATGACCGCATTCCGCATTTTAGAATCATTTTTAAATAAGTCAAACTAATTTTGAGTCAACTTTTGTTTTTGTTTTTTTTTTTCATCTCTCTCCCCGTAAATTTAGGTTGCAGTTATTGCTGGTAATCTAGAATTGGCTGAAATTATACAAAACTATAAAATCGAAGATGTTGGTAAGTTTAATTTTCTTGGAAATTTAATGAAAAAATTCCCCAAAACGACTCGGTATGGAATTAATTTTAATGAATAAAAACTTTCACCACAAGTTGGCCATGTGCTGTTTGGTTATATTTTATCTAATAGAAATCTCATCAATCATTGCTTTCTTTGTTGTTACACATAATCATTCCATTTTTTTTTTTTTTGGTTATTCTTTCCCTTAATTTTCTTCATTAATAAGAATTTATCAAAAATATTGGTTTTCTCTCTCTCTCTCTCTCTCTCTTTCACCTACATTTACGGTTGTTTTAAAATGGTTTGTTCGCAAAAAAATTCCCTAAATTCATTTCCATCGTTACTCAATCTATAAAATTTTTGTCGATTTTGTTTTGTGCCAAACTGTACTTTCGTTTGAAATATCATTTTACGTTTCTTCTTTCACGATCTCTCATCGTCCCATTGATGTTATATAATATAAATTGAATGTATCATGTTAATTATCATATAGTTTCCTCTTTCTCTCTTTCCCATCATCATCATCAACGCCTAAAACAAAAGTATTATCGAATAACATCATCATTATCATAGTCTCGTACGCATTGATATATCATCCGTTTCCGTAGGCAATTATAAGACATTTCGATTATAATTACAAAAAAAGAAAAGAAAAGAAAAAAAAAAAAATATGAAAAACATTTATACGCTCGTATTAAATAAAATTCGTAATTAATTGTTTTAATTAAATTAAAATTTGCCTGTTATTAGTTCAGCACTGTTTACCCATATTTGTATCTATAGATCTATCTTTGTTTATTTATTTACCATTTTAATGCAATATGTAACGAATAGTTTGTATGTGTTTATTATAATCACAGTAATGCATCACGCAAATATTATTTATTCTGAATAGTTGACACAGAACTTCACTTGAACTACTATCCCCAAAATACTTTGTACTTTCAACTTACAATTTATTACTTAGTCTAAGAGATAGTGTGACCCCTCAAGGCTTGATTCGTTCCAATCGATTAGTTTGCTTATCTGTTAAAAGATATGTTTGCCTCAGCGATTAGCCTTCACTACAAGAAAATGTCATCACCAATGCATGCATAAGAAGCAAGTAGATAGACTATATTCGAACACAGCCTACCATCAAATACCCTACATCATTTTGTTTAATGCAATTACTCATACAAGGACTTCTCAAAACAAGGCTTTACACGGAGAATGGTCGCAATAGTTATACGATCCGAAACATTTTCTATAGCGTTCGCACTTAGACCAAAACATGTCGACATATCAAATTTGCGATTTGCATCGCGAGCAAGAAGAAACCACACGGACAGACAGAATACAATGAAAAGCGGATCTAACTCAAGTCCTTCTAGATGTTGCATACGTCCGCACAAGCTTAATACACCCTTGTAACGGCCTCTCCAAATAGAAAATTTGCCAAAAGGGGGCCGTTGGATAGGATAGGGTGTACAGCGGTGTTGGAGCATAACATCTTGCCCCCCGGCTTAGACATACTTTGTCTATCTTTGCTTCGTCAATGACAAAAATGATACGTGCTATCTACTGCCTCACTCGGGCAAGTTAATTTTTAAATCTCCCGTGCCTATCATTCGTAGTGAGCTCGGTTTTGGCAATTTCACGCTAGCCTTTAGGTGTTAGGCGTAGACCATCAGTCAGACAAATTGCATAACTTCACGCTTCCAAGCTTATGGTATAAAAACAATAGAAAAGTGGCCAAGACAAAGTTTAAGCGGCCAGTAACCTTGATGAAGTTTCAGCAGTCTTTCCAAACTTTCGCATTCTTGAACGTACCAATAACAGATGATAGACGAAGATTAGTGTACATACATCATGTTGCTTTATGGAAGAACAAACATTCCAATGGATATCTAACAAAGATTTTTCACTTCAATTATTTTTGTTGTTTTCTTTTTGCATTTCTAAGTACGTGGCAGCTATGTATTTGCTATGTATATTTTCAAATTTTATCCATCAATGTCTGCACAAATTTTCAATTTCATGTGTTTATTCTCTGCGTCTAACAGACTGAGCGGGGCGAACTGGACCCCCAAGCTTCCATTTATGATTTTATATATATTTCTTATAACGTCATTGGTAAATGGTTCGGGGCGTTAAAAAGGAAATGTAAAAATTAATATATTTTTGTATGCTTAGACGTAATAACGCTACGTATCATAACCTAAAGCGTCCTAAAGTCTCCATTTCTCGCACTTGAATGTGTGTAACAAAAATATAATTATCAACGGTATTGCCCTCCTTTGCTTATTTACTCATAACGTCTGACGAAGGCATGTGTCCTTTGTACCTTTTGCTTTCAACCCTCACTGATGGTGAATATACATCATTTTGGCTTTAACTATGTTCAGGTTGTTTTATGAATTTAGCAGGCAGAGGGATATTTATTAATACATTGTTATTAAGGCTTTCATTTTCAATAATTAAAAAAATCATTATTAGATCGTACGCAGCAGTCCGTTATTTTTTTAATTTTTGTTCCGTTTGTTATATTTTCTTTTCACTTTTTTTTTAAATTATGTTTAATTATGTTTAACATAATTATATTGTTTTCTTCAAAAGTCCAAGTTATAAGTTCCTCAAGCCATTTTCTAAAGTGAAAGAATAGTGCAGGCCTGTCTTTATACCCTGCTTAACGCGATAACGACTACTTTCGCTAAATAATAAGTCTTCCTCCTCAGACTATGCTACAAATAATAATCTCTACAAAATTTTATAGATTGAGTAAAATCTTTAAATTCGTTTCTACATCTGAGTTACCAAAAACCCGGGCACTTTCATTGCAAATCTATATTCCCTTGCCAGAGAGGGTGTATGTGTTTGCTAACTTTATATATTTTTTTCTTACTTTTATTGCGCTAAAAAAGAACCCAAAACTTAACCCTTGGATATGAAATAACTGTTTTAAAAGGAAAAAAGTTTTCGCAGAAATATTTCAAATAGATTTTCACTCCCGGGAACTCTTGCATCTGCAATGCACTAATATTTGTTGAATGGTTTCAACTCCAACCATAAGGAATTCAAAAATTGCTAAATACCTATCAAAGTACATATACAAAAACATACATATATAAGTTATAAGTGAAAAGAAGAAGCACAAAAAAAAAAAAAAGGAAAAAAGTTAGTAACATTTGAAATATATTTATACCACATACAGTACCCTTTCGCGGACCGCCACGTTATAATCCCAAACGTCGTTCAGGCATTAATTGGCTAAGTGCCAATGGTGGTGGTAGTATTGGCGGCGGTGGCAGCCTGATGGGTACATTGACACGTAATAGCACAGCCCCTTGTACTGGTGGCCTCCACCACCACCGTGGACCACCGTCACCATGTCCATCCGAACACTTGCCATACAGTTCGGCCAGTTCGAGTCTATCTGAGGGATCATCCGGTCACCGTTCACATGAGGATGATATCAGCATTGTAACAGGTATTCATTTTGTTCATTTCATTTACACTATTTTTATTTTTCATTTTATTTTATCGTATTTTTTTTTACTTTTTTTTTATTATTTTTTTTTTTTTTTATTATATATACGTTTGTGTTGTTGGGCTTTGTTTCGCTTTCAGTTTATTTGATTTTTCGATAATATTACTAAAATAGGAAATTTTAAGGATTGGATTTCTTCTTATTTAATGTTTTGAGAAAATTCAAGGACTTATTGGTTTATCGTTACTGCGTAATTACATTCAGACTATATGTTAGGCTTTAGTTTAGTTAGTTTACTAAAGAGTCATTAAATTACAAAATTACACTTGAACATCAATTTAATCAAACTTGAAAATTTTCTTCTAAACTTTAATTCTCTATATATATATATATGTCACTCAGAAGAGAGTTTAAGACAGATAAGTATATGTATGCGAAAATGTTTAAAGCATGTTGAATTTATATGTTTGTGTAACATTAGCAGATTGCATGTTTCAAAAACTCTTTAGTCAATATATCCTAAATCAACAACAGCAACAATAGCAACAAAATTCAAATAAAATTGCATGTCGCATTACTGTATAGAAAAAAAAAAGATTTGTTCCTCAGCTATTGGACAGAAGCCAAAGTTGTTATTATTCTCTCTCTCCCACCGAGCATAAAGCCAAACCATCCATCATTTATCGAGGAAATCCCAACATAAGGGGAAACTCCATCACATCAGCGTTGTAAAAGCACTTCCCCTTAATCTTCCAACAACAAAAATGTGTGCTTAGAGTAACATCAATCACATTATCATTTATAAGAATATTTATTCCTCTCTATCATTCTTTATCTGTTTCTCTCTCTCTCTTTCTCTCTCTCTCTCTCTCTCTCCCTCTTTCTTTCTCTCTGCCTCTCGGTTTTTCTGCTTGTCTGTCTTTTTTCTTTTTACTTATTTAGATAAATCCTTAGGCGATACTAGCGATATCATTAGCGACTCGTCAGGGGTGGGCACAAACTCTGATTCTGCCGCCTGCTCGATTGGTCATCCTAGCACAACGGTGGTTTGCATGGAACCCTATGTAGGCAATTCGGTGGGCCACATACGCCTTCAACCGGGCGACGTAATCGAAGTAGTTGGATCCACCGATTGTGGCCTCCTGGAGGGCTATGTGCGCGGCACCAATCAGTCAGGTTTCTTTCCGGCTGAATGCGTTCAAGAAATTAATTTGCGTCAAAAGAATATAACAAATGTAGCCACGGCTACAATAAACCAACACTCACCTTACCAGCATTCGACAGTGGGCTCGTCTGTTCACCAAGGTTCGCCTCAATTGAGTTTGGGAGGTAGTTCGAGTATTGGTTTAATCAGCAATAACGTAGGCGCCTTGCCACGTCCTAGTCTAATTCATCAATCGCCCTCATTGTCGGTGAATAGCGGTGGCTCTACACAAGCACTGAATGGCACGAATTCTGTTGTTGTTGTGGAACAACAGCATAGCACAACTGTCGTAAATGGCTCTCAGCAAGTAGTTGGCCAATATAGTAGCGCTACAGCTCCAAGGGTAAAGAAAAGGTACACATCTTTAGCCAATCCTAGAGGTGGTCAGTGTTCATTCTCTCCCCCTCCTACTCCTTATAACAGCGCATTTAATGAGCCTCGTACAGTAGTTTTGCACCGAGCTAAGCGTGGTTTCGGTTTCATTTTACGCGGTGCAAAAGCTTCGTCACAACTTATGCAATTAAAACCGTCCGAACGTTTTCCGGCTTTGCAATATCTTGACGACGTCGATCCTGGTGGAGTAGCTGATATGGCTGGTTTAAGGCCTGGCGATTTTCTTTTAGCTATTAACGGCGAAGATGTTAGAGCTGCTTCCCATGAGAAGGTCGTTGAAATGATACGCTCAGCCGGGGCTTTGGTATCAATGACCGTTATATCCCCGCAATTTCCAAACCAAATGCAAGCCACTCCCCAATACATGCCGAGTCATCATATATCGAGCGGCCCAAATACGCCGCAAACCTCGCATAGACAATGTGCTACATTGCCCCGAAAAATGTCGTTAGGTCCTAATTCGTCAACAGGAAGTTCTGGGGGTCGACCAGCTCCTTTGCCACCGAGACGTGACCCTAAAACTACTCTGTCGGTGGGCAGGGCACGAGCCAAGTCTATGGTGGCCGGTTTGGAAAATGGCGGTGAAAAAGAAGATGACGATATAACGCATACGAAATCATCTTCAGTTGAGTCAATTGTCACACCCACTCCCACCCATCCTAGCACACCGGTTCAATTGCGTACAGCCAGTATTAAAGCACGTCCAACTTCAAGTCGCATAACAGCCGCAGAACTAGAAGAGCTATTCCAACGCCAACATGGGGAGGTTGTAGACAGCTCCAATCGATATTCCACCATGATGACCACGTCACGTTTTCAATCCGGTGTTGAAAGTGGAGCAGCCACTCCTCCAACCAACATCAATTCTCCACTAAAAGGGCCTCAGGTCTACGGCAGTGTTGCCGAAATGAAGCGTAAAACCAAGACCAAAAACGGAACATTACGCGGCAAACCTTGTGTAATTCCTACGGTGGGAGGAGGGCACGATTTAAAACGATTCCATTCCACGCCAGATCTGAATGTCAACGGCGGTTCCTCTTCTTCTATTTGGACCACCAATGTAAGCAAGGGCCATCTTTCACAGGATGACGTGACCACCTTACACGCTTCTATGATCCGTTTAAATACATTGCCCCCACCCTCACATCCTCCACCACCACCTCCGGTCGTCGGACAGGTAGTAAAGGTAGAAACGCGTCAAAATTCTGAATATGAAAGCACCATATCGTTGCAGCAGAAACTGAAAAAGCGTGCCGAAAACGACGCTGTCACATCAGCAGCTATCGACGGTGTTCAATCAAGTTTCAACCCGTCAGCAAATGCTAAAATCTATGCTTCACCGCAAGAATTGCGAAATGTCTTGGCCTGGAAGCTAAGGCAATGTCAGGAGGTAAATATGTTATAAAGAAAAAAGAAAGAACAATTCAAATCAACAATTCGCTTTACAGAATCGCTCGCAGCCAGTGAATCAAGCTCAACAACCAAATAGTCAACTGCAACAGGAACTTGTTTTAAATCAACCCCTCGTTTCAAATGCGCAACAAAGTCAACAACCAGACCCCCACACACAAATTAGTCAATATGCACAACCCACTGCTTTGGCACGCACCAATTCACCTGCCAGCTCTAACTCGGCTGGGCAGTATGCAGCACCTCAATCTCAAAATGGTTCCGCAGTTATAAATCAAGTCAACAAGAGTAGCAACAATATTAATAATAATACTAATAATAACAATAATAATAATAGTAACGGCGGACAACTTAATATACCAACTGGTCCAGCCCCTCCTATACCGGAACCCGACTACAGTCTTAGTGAATCAGATGGTGAAGATGAGAATTCTATATTAGTAGCACGTAACACGAAACTAAATGAAAAAATCGCTTTAATCGATGTTCCCGAGACTAGCGGCAACAGTCAAGCGAGGTTTGTTATTAACAAAATTCGATAGAATTTAAACTTGAATATCAAACATTGTTTCATTTTAGTGGCAGCAGCTCAGGCTCGGGTTCCATTTCACATTCCTTATCAGTTGAAGAGATCCAACGTATACGCAGCAATCTTAAAATCTCTAAGTCTTCGCCCAACGGTTTTAATAAAGTTGTCGAAAAGATAGTCGCAGACGGAAGAGCCGATGCAGAAAAGAGCGAAAAAGATGATTCTGAAAATAACAATAACAACATGCTGAACGAAGAAGAAGATAGTTCTTCAGGGGTTAGTAGCGATCAGGATGTAATGGCTGCCAATAATGTAGTAAGCGGGCCGAGAGCTACCGATACAATTAAAAAGAAACCAACCGTAACCATTGTGGATGATCCAAAAACCATCCCAGATCAGTCCATTTCAGATCAGGATGAAACAGACAGCACAAAACTGCCTACGACACCACCGCCGCCGCCACCACCTGTGGAAACAAAGACTAAAACAGCTAACGTAGCAATTGAAAATACAACCAATAAAACAACAATTTCACCTCAGCAAATGAAGACTAATTCAGTGGTAACAGTCACAGTAGCTGCCGCCAAAGAAAAATTACCTACACTAACAAACGTTGTAGCCAGCACCGCCGCTGCTTTTGAAGCTAAAGCTGCTACTGCAAATGCCAATATTTCTGCAACGGTGGCTAATATTCCCACCACAGTTACTGTTAAGCAAATGGTCCAACAACATCATGCACCAGTCATACAGCAACAACAACAACAAATGTCGACATCAAAGGTAAAGACACTGCTAGTGCAAAGTCAGTTAGTGGCCAGTAAAGCACAGCCAGCAATAGCTGGTCGCTTGGCTCAACAACAACAGCAACAACAACAGCAACAACATATAAATCCCAACCAAAAGTTGTTAGCCACTCAACAGCAAATAATGCAGCAACAACAACATCAACAGCATTTACAACAAATTCTCAAAGCCAAAGCGGCTGCAGCAGGAGCTGCCGCCACTACAGCAGCTCTGGTTGCCAAGCAACAGCAACAAATGAGTGCTAATAAACTTCTGACATCGACGACTTCACAAGACTCCACCGATGAGCAGCGTTCAGATGACGACGGAGACTTAAGTCCTTCCCCGCCAGCCAAAGGCTTTCAGAGACATAATTCGTTAACACGCAAACAAGCCGCCGCTATTGCCATGCAACGAGCTACGCGTTCAGCTGCCGTTTCGCTGGTGCAACTTCCGCCACCCATTGAGGCTGACAGTGATAGCGAATTATCGCTGAGTGCAAAAGGTGCTGTTGGTGCGACCGCAACTACGGTGGGTGATGATGATGGATCTCTGGTTGCAGAGAACATTGTACTCGCGCCACCGCCACAATTTTGCGATTGCAATGACATTAAGCATGTGCCGCAGTTGCAGCCACAGCAACAGCAACAGTCGACATCGCCTGCACCGCCCACTCAAATGCAACACTTGCAAATGCAGCAGCGCGTTCACCAGCCACAACAGCAGCTGTCGCTACAGCAACAACAGCAACTACAATATCAGCAATACCACCAACAATTGCAACAGCACCATCATCAACTGCAACACCAACACCAACAACAGCATCAGCAGCAACAACAAATGATGGCCATGACCATGCAAATGCATCCACAACACATGCTGCAAATGCAGCATATGACAAGTAATGCATCTGCTGCCGCTGCTGTTGCTACTGTTGGTGTTGCTAGTGTTGGCGGTGGTGGTGGAAGTGGTGTGGGCTCTGGCGCAGCTACTGCTTCAGCAGCAGCCACAGGCAATATGGGCACATTAGGTCGCGTTCGCGTTGTTGGTACTTTACCCAAAAACAATCATCATCGTTTGCATTAAGACAAAACAGTAAAGCTATACTTTTCCCTCCTTGTGCAAAACAAGGTAACGCTTGCTTCCCGGAATTTAAAAGAGAGAAAAACACATGTTTTTTGTTTTTTAAAGTTACAAAATATCTGCTGCATTAAAAAGATAAAAAGTAACGACTGCCAGTCTATTAACGATCGCACTCGGAAACTAGCATTTATTATAACAACACGCACAAAGGTCGACTAAAATTTGAATTAATGGAACTTACAGTTTGAGCTTTTCCAAACAAAACATATTCCATGAATTTCCCTCTTTTCGTTTTTTGTGACATGCACAAGAATGTTTGACAACAATCGATTTCCAAGAATAGAAGCGTCCTTTACAACTTCAACTACACTACAGTCTTTCCTAACTAAATTCATTTTCAAAGAGCCCGAACAACATTTTAAGGACATTTTCATAAGGAATGCTGCAAGATCGAGGACCACACAATAAATTGTCAGGGAGCAAATTTTTAACATATAATAGCTGGCATGTGTGCGCCCAAAAAAGGTAGAAAGTTAAATTTAGAAAAAAGTAGTCGCTCGGTCCGGAAATATGACTTACCGAACATTATCAAAATGAACACTATCTTTCTTGTACACCGTTTCTATTAAACAAATAACTAGTAGCTTAGCAAATGTTAACACACGACACCTGCTCATCGAAATTTTTTTTTAAATAGTTAAATACGAAAATGAAGAGATCGAAATAAAATAGAGTAATTCCAATATAGTAAGTATGTAAAGTAAAAGTAAAATTTCTGCATTTCAGTAAAGAAAAGACGAAAAGTCGAGGAAGTAATAACCGTTTGATATTTCAAATGGATTGCATATTTTTGAAACGAAAAAATCGACATATACATCAGAGGGAAAGATTCAGTGTACAAAACTGAACGTCTTTTGTCATCACGATTTATTAGAAAAGACTAGTCACCATACCGATAGTAAACTTATGAGAAAATTACACCTAGACCATGTACTGACTCCATGGACACTAGGTCCTCTGGACTCTTGTTTTGTAAACGCATACACTTCAGTTTCCGACATAACCTTAAAGATTGATTACTTCAATTTTCTTTTTTCCTCAACTGAATGGTCTCTATCTATTGATACCACTTTAATTGCTAACAAACGAGGAATATGTTGTTGCAATAGAATTCCTTAAAATTACAACAATCAGCCTTTTTAATAAATACTAAATTCTTTATCATCTTATTTTTTTTTTATTTTTTGATTTTTTCCAATTCCCGACAATTATTGATCATGATATCACGAGAGAATGTTCCCTCTCGTTTCGCCGATGTGAGGGATAATTTGTAAATATTTCGCTCATCAGGCCAATTGGAAAAATTATCAAGCAAAAATAATAAAATAAACTAAAGAAACATATTGAAAGGAAATGAAATTAAAAGAAGTTATGATGATGAGAAGAATGATTCAATCATAGATGACTCTGATAAGCTCTATGTAAATACAAATCAATTGGCAGAATGGGACCGATGTTCTCCGACCGATGTGAATATGATTACAATGAATGAAACTTGGAAATGTTAGACATAACATCGTCCTTAACTGCCCCTTAAATTCCAATCTACAATACTATATAAAATATATAGAGTTATTATCTCCCTTGCATCGCTTGACTGGGGTTAGTAGTACTCTTCCCTTTCCATGTTCTTCAGTGCAACACTTGATTTGGTGCTTGAAAAAAGCCACTTTGTAAGGTAAAAGTTTCACCCACATCTACACTTTCGCTACCATTTATAGAGCAAACTTATGGCGTAACCTTTTTTTTCACTTTTTAAAGTCTCTTTTTTTCTCTTCATTGAAAGAGAGAAAGCAACAACTTTCATTGCAGAAAAAAAAATTAATAAGGAAAGAAATTTGGAAGAAAAACCAAGAAATTAAATAAATATTAATTAATTAAAAATTGAAAACACTTAATAAAAAGAAAAAAAAGAAACTATAAAGCACAATTATCAGAAGCAAAATCTATAAATTTGCTATATACGCATAAAATTTATGCATTCATTAGGAATTTACAATTGAAGGTTTTGAAATGTAATAAAAAATGATTTTTTTGTACAATTTTATTTAAATACGAAAAACAACAGAAGAATATATATGTTTAAATACGTATTTGATAAAAAAAAAAAAAAGTAAAAATGAAATTTTTCTTTTTTCTTTTCTTTTGCTTAATTGTGTTATGTGTGATATACATTTGAAAAAAAAAAAAATATCGAAAAAAATATGAACGGAACATATGTATATTCACCAAAAATGATAGAAAATAATTAAAAAACAATTTTTATTATAAAATTTGTTTAAAAAGGAAAAGATTCTTTTCATAAACATCTTAAAATTGTAGTCAGCATCCATCCATTATTTAGCGAAAATCAATTATATACTTATATATGAATAAATATATATTTATATATAAATATACATATATATATATATCTACATATATGCATATATATACATATATATGTATATATTTTATAATATTATATATGTATATATATACATATATATATGTTTATTTATATATATAATTTTTTTGCTCATTATTAATTTTTATACATTTATATACTCTTCCCTTACAATTACTCGATGCACAAGCACTCGTACATATAAATACATATAAATGTTTCAAAAACAGTTAAGCACCCCTCTAACGAAACAGTAAATAACTAATAAAGAATTTTATTGAAAAAAAAAAAAAAGTGAGAAAAATTTAGAAATCTAATTAGAAAATTATATGTCGTAAAAATTTTTTTTGCTAGAAAAAGTGTAAAACATTTAATTAAAGAATAATAAAAATCTTAAATACATAAAAAATTTTTTTTTCATTTTTGTTTTTTTTTTTTTTTGTTTTTTGTAAAGATTTACAAAAGTATTTGTCTACTGCGAATTTTCTTTTTCTAATGTTATACAAATTATATAAACGAGAACGACTCAGACAAGCATATAATTATATTAAAATATTAAATGTAATATTAATAGTATATATATTATTATTATTAATATCATCATTACTAAAAAATTTTATGAAAACATGTAACAAAAATAGAGAGAAGCACTGAATGAAAATGAAAAAATCACTATCAAGTATCAGTATCGGCACAGAATATATTTATATTTATTTAGCCCCTTAGCAATGTTTATATTTATTTACATTACATTTCAAAAAAAAAAAAAAAATTTTTAACTTTTTAAAATTTGGAAATCTTAACAAAAGCAAAATTTTGCAAAATTGCTCTAAGTGTCTAAACAGCTTTAGTTTTTGCCATACTTTACTTTCGATAGAAATCACTCGCTTACCTAAGTCATACAATGCTTTACTGCAGCTGGTGCAGAATGACAGGATGACACTGTTATAAAAAGCTGACTAAGACCAAAAACAAGTAAGAGAATTTCGTTCGCTTTGCGACGAATCATTGGTGCTCGCCATGAGCAAATTATTTTCTGAATTGAGGACGGCAAGACCCTTCTTGCGTTGAAATAGATATGGCTAAATTATTTCATATCTTGTGGGATTTCTTTTCTTCTTTTGTATTTCGACATTTTCAAAACTAGCGGCACTATAAGAACCGCTTCTAATAGGTAAAAGATTAGAATGTCCCTCGAAACTGAAATTATCGCTTCGTTTAACAAAAGCCAGCCTCAAGACCTCTACGGTTTGAATTAAGCAATTTAATCTTGTAATTTTGTAGTAGATGTAGATGCTTCTTTAGATTGCCATAGAGCCTTGAAAGGAGTCCTGGTGTTTTGAACTCTTGATGCTTGTATCTGTAAAACCCTATAAGTCATGAAAATACTTCAAACATCGAAAAAATTGCCCACAAAAGCCGTTCATGAGTAGATTGTATTGCGGTTATAAAAAAGTGGAGATATCTACGAGGTTTTAATGAGAGAACTTTTATTAACCTAACTTATACCATACACTGATTTTACCCAAAACAATTTCCATTCTTTCTTTTCTTTTTATTTTTTTTTTTTTAATGCTTTACAAAAAAAGTTTTTCCTTGTTTCACACAAGGTATTTGCATAAAAAAATAATTTTTTTTAAAAGATTTTCCTTCGTAGAACTTGTTTAAAAAACTTTAAAAGTTTTTAAGCTACTGTATAAAAAAATCAAAGAATTGATTATTTTTTAAACGCATTTGTTTTATATTTATTAAAAAAACTATACATTAGTTATTATGTGTGTTTGCGTGTATTTTTTTTCTTTTCTTCTTTTGCAATGTATTCTTAACGTAGATACTTATACAATTAATTCATTTGAAGGATATTCATACTAAACAATAATATTAAATTAAATTTAAAAAAGATTTATACAATTTAAGCAATTAAATTAAATAAATACAATTTAAAAAAGAAAAATCGTAGAGAAAAACTTAAAAACTCTCACAAATACAAAAAAGTCAGTTACGAAACGCATTATCATAATAACCGTGCATATTATTATTACATTAAAACGAATAAAATAAAAATAAAAAAAATTAATAAAAACTTAAAAATAATTTAAAAAAAAAGACAAAACCATAGAGTCTTTAATATATTCTTAATTTGGAATTCTCACACGCTCGCAAAAGAAAACCATTCGTATCTCTAACTGGATCCGTAGTTTCTTCTAGTTGATCGTCACAAATTCAAGTAAAGTCCCGGCTTATAAATATCTTGCAACATAATTCCAATTTGAATAACATAATTCAAAATTCACACTCTCACATAATTCCAATTTCAAT